GCCCAGGCGGGTCTCGAACCTGCGGGCTCAGGCAGTCCACTCACCTCAGCCTCCCAAAGGTGCGGGATTACAGGCTGAGCCACCGAGCCTGGCTGACTAACAGTGCTCCCAGCTGATGCTGATGCTACTAGTCTGTGCACTGCACTTTGAATAGCCAAGATCTAAACCAGGGGCCCCCACAATCAGCAGCATCAGCATCACCTGAGGCATTGTTAGAAATGCAAATTCTTGGTGTACCCAGTGGTTCATTCCTATAATCCCAGGACTTTGGAAGGTGGAAATAGGAGGATCCCTTGAATCCAGGAGTTCGAGACCAGTGTCTCTACCAAAAATAATAAAATTAACTGACATGGTGATGCATGCCTATAGTCCCAGATACTCAGGAGGCTGAGGCAGGAGGATTACTTGAGCCCAGGAGCTCAAGATTACAGTGGGCTATGATTGCCCCATTGCATTCTGACCTGGGTGATAATGACCCTGTCTAAAAAAAAAAAACCAAAGAAAAAGAAAAGAAATGCAAGTTCTTGAGCCCTCTCCCAGACAAGAGCGATGATCTGTGTTTTCACAAGACCTTCAGATGCTGGCTGGGGTATGAAGCCCTGAAACACGAGAGAAACCTGGGAGAAGACATGCCAAGCAGAGGGCACAGCATGTGCAAAATCCCAGGGTCTTGGAGGGCTGGATGGGAGTGAGCCTGGAGAAGCTGGGTCTGCCCTGGCTGGACAGATGATGGAGGCCTTGACTGTGTGTGTGGGGTGGGGGGTGGGATTTTGTCTGAGCCAATGAATGACTCAGCCCTCCCCCCCCCCCCAGCCTGTCCCCCTCATCCCTGCCCCCACTGCACAGCTGTCTTTCAGTCTTTTCTACTTGCTACATTCCCTCCCACCATGGGGCTTTTGCACATTCTGATCCTCTACCTGAAACACCCTTTCCTGCCTCCTTTCCTTCCACCCATCAGCTTTCAACTCGAACTGAACAGGCTAGGACTGGGTGCACTAATATTTGGTCTTCTAGCACCAAGTATGGGGCCTTCTATGCAATTTTGCATTAATTTTTTTCATTGCCTCATTAAAAAAATTAGGTGCCTGTCACATGATAAATGCTCAATACATATCTATTGAATGAACAAACCAAGAGAGAGAACATGCACATGTGCCTCAGCTCCCTTCTGAGCCCTCCATGATTTCCATGGCTGCCTTTTAGAACAGCCCTGACCCAGGTTTCTTGGGGGAGGAGAGGTCTGTGGAGGCAGAGGTGGGATGCGACTTAGAATCTGAGCATCTCCCTGAACCCCGAAGACAGCCAAGTGAGAAGCCCAGCGAAGCACACCGGGAAACTTCTCAGAGTCAGAAGGGGTGGAGACCTGGGGGTGGGAGAATGACTCTCCCAAAGCCTTAGGAGTGGGCTTTTGTGTGAAGACGGGGAGGGAGCAAGTGGAAGACTCAAGCCTCCGGACACAATTGCCCTAGCTGGGGTCCCTCTGTCTGGGCAGCGGGGAGCAGGGGAGGAGGTCTGTGGAGTGTCTGCCCGTCCCTCTGTCTGAGAAGCTGCAGGAGGGAACGAATGGCCAAGGAACACCAGCGAGCAGGTGTGGAGTGTCTCCCAAGCTAAGTCTGCCTGGCCGGGATTCTCGGAAAAATCTCTGTCCATTCCAGGGACAGCAGAGGCCACTGGAAGTGGAGAAACAAGTCAGGAGTTTAGAGTCCCCATGTCTGGCTACCCAAGAATGGAAAGCAAGGCCCTTCCCATGAGAAGGAAGACCCCGCCATCCACTCGCTGTCCCCCACCAGCTCTGGGGACATTGCTCTCCCTGCGTCCCTCCCAACCTCCCACCTACCTTCTTCCCTTTCTTGACTTCATATTCCATGGTGAAGCGTCCCGGCTACTCCTAACACCCTCCTGGTCACCCCCTCCACGCTCCCCGCCACCCCAGTTCCTTTGTTCTTTTTCCTGCCTGGTCGGAAACTCCACCAGCCACAGAGTTCCTGCCCCTCCCATCTGATGGCGGTTGGAGGACACAGCCTTGGGACCCTAGCTGAAGGGTGGGAGCCCAGTGGAGCAGCAGACCTGGAGAGAAAGGCTCAAAGCCCCAGCCAGAAGGCATGCTGTGGGGGCTCAGGAGTTGGGGGAGGCTGAGGAGGACACCCCACATTTGGCATCCTAATTTGGAAAATTCCCAGTTCCAGCCCTATTTCTGCCACTGACCTTGCTGTGTGACCTTGGCGAGGCCAGTTGGTTCCCCCTTTCAGAGCCTGTGCCCCCTCCCCTGTATTAATTGGGTGTAAACATGGCCTCCCTCCCTGGGCTGTTGTGGTGAGAGATGAAAGAGTAAATGGAAAGTGCTTCGTAACAATAGATTACTTTGTCCAAGTACTCTAAAAAATAATCATTACTCTAAGGGAGCAGTGTGCATGGGCTTTGGAGACAGGTTGCCCGAGTTTGAATTCTGACTTTGCCATTTGCCAGGATAATGACGAGGAAGTTCTGTGCCTCAGCTTTCCTGTCTATAAAATGAGCATAATACTCGTTTGACCTCATAGTGACCTTGTCAGGATTAAATGCACTTAGAAGAGTTCTTGGCACATATTAAGTGCCAAACAAAGAGTAACTGTTTATCTGTTTGTGGGTTGTCAACGTAAATAACAGAGGCTCTCTAAAAGAAAAGACATTTATTTGGGAATAAAGCATTGCAGCGGGAATGTCTGTGTCATCGTGAACTATGTATGTATTCAGGGAGTTAAAGGAAGATGAAGGTTTTTTTGTTTTTTTTTTTTTGAGTTGGAGTCTCACTCTGTCATCCAGACTGGAGTGCAG